AAAAAAAAAAAAAAAAAGTAAGACAGTAGACTTTACCTTCAGGGGTGCTGGCCTCAACTGGAGATGGGGGCAGGGTGGTGTATGTAATCAGCTAGATGCCAGGAAGCTGCTGACCAGTGGGTACCCAGGCAGGACTTGGTGGTGTCTGGGAGGTCTCAGTGAGATGCAGGGTTGGGTTGTTGGCAGGACTGGTTGAATTAGATGGCTCTTTCTCAAAGAAGTGAGGAAGAAAGCAGTTTCCTCCCTTCAGCTTGTCCTCCTGGCTCAGGCTGTCAGCCAGAAATGGGGTTTCTCTGCTTGGCTCAGTGTGAGGGGCTGCACTCGTGCACATAAAGCAGGCTTGCTGCTCCAGAAGCTTGTTTTCTCTTGAAGGAGAGAAACAGAGGTGGGAAGGAGACTTGTTAAAGCGACACTGGGAGCTGTCATCACTTGGCGTGAGCTTAGCACAGAGTACTCATTGACACAGTGGGCATTTGCTTGCCTTGATTTCAGTTCCTTGGCCACGTGGCCAGCGTGTCAGGATTTGAACCACTCAGAGGTCTGTCGAGTGAGCCAGGGAGTCGTTTAAAGACTTCACTCTGGCCTCAGAGGAGCTCAGGGACCACAGTATCCAGGAGAAACTGTTTCCCCTTTTCACAGCACAGTGTAGACGGACATAATTCCAGGGGTTCCATGGGTCTCTGTCCACTTCTTCCTAGAGATCCATCCAGAGGCGACTGTCCTGGGACAGACCTGGTGAGGGCATTTTAAGAGTGGAACTTCGCGGTTTGGAAAATATTTGACAAGAGCAACTAAGGCTGAGGAGGTAGCTGGGGTGTCGTGGAAGGGCCCGGGATGTCAGGCTGAAGGGCGTTCATGATTTGGTGGGTGATGAGCGTCACTGAGAGGTAGCAGGCTGGGCGGGGGCACGACAGAGAAGCATTTTGGTGTCTCCGGGTAGCGGGTGAGGAGGCTTGCTTCCTGGCTTCTGCTCACACCTGACATCCCAGCTCTCGGTACTGGAGAACCCGACCTGGTGGTTTACGGCTGACCTGCGCCGCAGGAGTAGGGCAGAGTGAGGGCGGAGGGGACATTCCCTCTGGGACCCCACCCCCTCCCTGTGCGACCCGCGGGCTCGGCCCAGGTGCTTGCTGAGGGCGCTCAGGGTCCGGCTGGCAGCGCTGCCCTCCCTGGGGGCATCGGCCTCAGCACAGCGCCAGCCTAGGACAGCTCCTCCTGAGCTCGCGTGACCCCGCGGGGCAGCGACATCTGGAGACCCGCCAAGGCCTAGTCTAGGGGCAGTCTCATTCCGGGGAGGCTGGCTTCCGGAAAGCCTCGCCCCTCTCGCTCGCCCTTAGCCAATCAAGTGTCGGGGCGGAGCGAGGGGCGGGCCCCAGCAAAACTGGCCAATCACGGCTGGCGTTTGTTCTCGGGGCGGCCCTTCCACCTCCACGCTCCCAAGAAGCACAGTTGCCTGGGCAACTGGCGAAGCTCTAGACTTTTAAACTTTCCTTATTCGCTCCGCCTGGCGTCTGTTGCGGAAAAAACCAACTACCCGGGGTGGACTGCTGGTTTCGTCGCCAGCCCGCGAGGTTTCAGAACTGGCTCCAGGCTTGCCACCGAGATGCCAAGCCTCCAGCCGTCCTAGAGAGGATGCAGACGGGGGTGGGGGCGTGGGGGTGGGGGACGGCGAGGGCCCCGGGCCAGGCCACTTGCACCTTGGAGTGCCGAGCCCCGGAATCTTGTTGCTGCCCCGGAGACTCGGGGAGCCTGGGCGGCCACATCCGCGGTTTGCCTGTCCGTGGTGCCGAGGGAGACCTGGCCCCTTCACCGGAGCTCGGCTGGTCCCGGACACCTCCCGCTGGCGCTCTGGCACCTTCAGAGCCCCGGAGCAGGGCCTGACGGGGCTATCTGGGGAGAGCCGGGCGTGGGTGCGGAACGACCTGGAAGGAGACCGCGGTCCTCTTCGGGTGGAACTGGGAACACTGAGGTGGCCAGTGCGGGGGACGGGGGGTACTATCCGCGGTTCAGGCATCCAGTGGGGCTTGGAACGTATCCGCCGCGGGTAAAGACGAACAGCTATGTGAAATGAATGCCTGCGTTCCAGGTCCTTTGTTAAATGTTGAGAAATTAGCGATGAAAACGCCAGACAAGATTCTTGCCCTCACGGGGTTCTGGTCTGGTGGGGGAGACAGACAAGCAGATAAATGGCACATACATTAGTTCCAAGTAATTGTCAGTAATTTCAATTCTGACAAATGCCAGAAAGAAAGGAACGGGGTGAAGCAATGAAGGATGTTAGGAACTGATTGTCAGAGAAGGCCCCTCCGAGGAGGGAACATTTAAGCTGAGACTTGAAGAATGACAAGAAGCTGTTTTACAAGGATTTGGGGGCAGAACCTTTCTAGCAAGGGGAACAGAATGAATAAAGGCCCTGCCATGAGGAAGATATTGGTGTTCCAGGAGCTGAAATGACACCCCTGGTGGGAGGAACGGAGGAGGGGCCGGCAGGAGGGGAGGCTAGGGAGATGAGACTTGTGAGAGGCTGTGTGACCTGAGGTTCTCCCTGGTGGCCCATGGAGAGTGGGGATGGCAGGTTATGAGGATGATCCAACCTTCCTCATCCTCATGCTCCTCAGCCAACCTGTGATGTGTGGTCAGGCAGTCTTCCCCCCTGGGTTGCAAAGGCAGCACTCCGTGGCCTGCACTTCAGTCACCTCCTAGAGCACACCAGTTTTTCTGTTCCGAACTAACTAAGCTCCAGGCTAGCCATGAAGATTAATACAATCCAATATGCCTGACCAGGACAAGTTGGGCTCAAATCTTCAGGGAAAAGTGAAAAAGATGCCTGGAGGGCCAAACTCTTGCAGCCTCTCATGTCCCTTATGGTCCTGTGGGCATGCCCATATGATAGGTTCCTGGTGGTGAATAATTCCCTGGGACTCACCCCTCTGTACTGAGCACTTACGGTGTGTTCAGAGTTAGTGCTGGGCTAAGTGGTTCCCCTGTATTCTCTCATTTATTTAATCCTTGTAACAACCCTACATGGTAGTGAATCAGGATTCAGTCCAACTACAAATAACAGACCCAAAATAACAGGATCTTAAACAAGACGGAAGTGTATTTCTCAAGATAACATCTGGAAGTGGGCTGGAGGTAGGCAGCCTATGGCAGGACTGGTATGGCGGCCCTAATCCACAAAGTCAACAGGGACCCAGGCTCTTCCTAGCCTGCTGCTCCACCACCATTAAAGTGCCATCTCACAATCCCAAAACAAGGAGTAGGATTTAACCAGACATACTGATTTTTAAATTTTTTTTTTAATTTTATTTATTTATTTTTCCCCCAAAGCCCCAGTAGATAGTTGTATGCCATAGCTGCACATCCTTCTAGTTGCTGTATGTGGGACGCGGCCTCAGCATGGCCGGAGAAGCGGTGTGTCGGTGCGCGCCCGGGATCCGAACCCGGACCGCCAGTAGCGGAGCGCCCACACTTAACCGCTAAGCCACGGGGCCGGCCCATGATTTTTAAATTTTTAATCAAATGGAAATACTATATACAACTTTATGTTAAAAAATTTGACATTGCTGAGCCGGCTCTGATGGTCTAGTGGTTAAAGTTCGGCATGTTCTGCTTCAGTGGCCTAGGTTCAGTTCCCAGGCATGGAACCACATCACTCGTCTGTCAGTAGCCATGCTGTGGCAGCAGCTCACATAGAAGAACTAGAAGGACCTACAACTAGAATATACAACTATGTGCTGGAGTTTTGAAGGGGGGGAGAGGAAGATTGGCAACAGATGTTAGCTCAGGGTGAATCTTTCCCAGCTGAAAATAAAAATTGAAATTGTATATCTTGAAAGGGATGACTTCCTAGAAAAATCTATCAAAATTTATTAAAACTATCAAAATTTAGTCAAGAAGACATAGAAATTCTGATCCCCAATATCCCATAGGAAAAATTATAAAAATAGATATCTATTTTTTCTATTTCTATTTTTTTTAATTTTATTTTTTTTGTGTGAGGAAGATCAGCCCTGAGCTAACATCCATGCCAATCCTCCTCTTTTTGCTGAGGAAGAACAGCTCTGAGCTAACATCTATGGCCAATCCTCCTCTTTTTTTCCCCCAAAGCCCCAGTAGATAGTTGTATGTCATAGTTGCACATCCTTCTAGTTGCTGTATGTGGGACTCGGCCTCAGAATGGCCGGACAAGCGGTGCGTCAGTGCGGGGCCGGGGTTCCGAACCCAGGCCGCCAGTAGCCGAGCGAGTGTACTTAACCGCTAAGCCACGGGCCGGCCCGGGAATATTTTTTACCTTCAGTTATTCAACAAATATTGTGCCAAGCACAATTCTAGGTGCTGGGACTAGGGCAGTGAAAACGGTCTGATCTCATGGAGCTTATAGTCGAGTAGTGGGAGACAAATATTACACAAATGACAGGTAGTGATAAAAGGAAGAAAAACAAGGCATGGCAGAGGCGTGGGGGAGGCTGTTTACATAGCGTTACGGAAAGCCACTGTGAGGGAGTGACATTTAAGCAGAGTGAGGGAACTAGCCTTGTGGATATGGATACCTTTACAATTTTCCATACTTCAACTTTCTTTTCTACACTAAGCCTGCAATACCTGCATAATCAAAACAAAACAAGAAAGCTCTTTCAATTTCAGCTTCAGATCTCTAGGTCGAGGAGTAAGTGGAGAGGGTAGGAGCAGGTCCACAAGCATGCAAAGGAGAACCCAGAGCTTTCCGGACACGGTCCACCTGCTCTACACTCTCCCCGGCCCTGGGACCCCCGCCGCCCCCGAGACGACGCTGCTGGTGGGAGAGCGCAGAGCTCCCCGGGGTCACTGTCCCCGCCTGCCGCGTCCCTCTGAGCGACTCCAGCCGACGCTCAGGGACGGAGAATCGCCGCAGGAGGCTCCGCGCCCCTCACTGGACTGTATCTACCAGGAAACTCCGCGCCCCGCTTGGAGCGGCTAAAGACGAAGGTGAAGGGCGAGGGCGGGTCCCACAAGGCTGGAAACGACTCTCCCAGGGCCGAGCTCCAGCCGCTGGGCCGCGCGGCACCCTCGGTCCTCGACCCACTCTTGGGAGAAAAGAGCCGGGGGCGGAAGGAAAAGTCCGTCCCAGCGCATCCCCTCCGAGGAGCAGGCGCTCCACTCGCGGCTAGGTCAGCCGCCGTCTCTTCCCACCAGGCCAGCCTTAGCTTCCGTTTCTTGCCAAACAGGAACCAAAAGAGCAGACAGCTCTACACATGACACTAGACAGAGGGGAACAGCGCGAGTCCAGGCGCAAACCACCCGCCCGAGGGTATGGGTGTTGATGCGCAAGGCGTCGCTGCCTTCTGATTGGCCAGCCCTGGGAATTCTCCCCGTTCATTGGTCATCCGTCAGGGAGAAGGCAGGCTTAATGGGCGAACGGCCTTCTGGGTTGTGTGGATCCGAGCGTTTGCGTTGGCGCATGCGTTTCCCGACGAGCCCCGCGCGAAGTTCCGGCGCCGGGACTTGGCGGCGGAACTGGGAACGCCTAGGCGACTGTGGGCGGTGTGTGTCCCGGGGGCGGGACCGGCGACGCGGGCCGCCGGGCTCGGAGATCGAGCGCGGGGCGCCAGGCGGTCCAGGCTGGCGGTCCAGGCTGGCGCCCCGAGGCAGAGGCCGAAGGGGGCGCGCACTGTTTGGAAGTGCCGAGGGCAGCCTGGGGCGCCTGCACCCGTTGTGCGTGCCTCCGCCTCTCAGCCCCGCGCAGCTCGGGGCTCCGGCCGGGGCCGCGTTCCCGCTTGCCGCGTCCTGCTGAGCGACCCTGGTGAGTCCCTGGCTGTCTCTCAGGCGAGCCGCCGCCTCGGTCACTGGAGAGTGAGAATGGAGCGCGTACCTTTCAGGGGTGTTGTGAGCAGGAGAAGAATAAAGTAAAGAAAGTGTTTAGTGTGTAGTGAGAAGAATTGGCAACAACCTGACTGCCTCCCTCCCTCGGGTATTGGTAAAGAAACTGGAGCACCTCCATACCGTTGTATCTCCCAGAGCGGCTAGCCAAGAAGCTTTGTCAGGTGGAAACGCAAGTTACAAAATAGTATGTGCAGTAAGACCTCATTTATGTAAAAACACGCACAAAGCACTTTTATTTTTTTCGCTTCTATAGATACATTATCACTAAATGCACAGGGAAAGGTCTGGGAGGTCATATGTCAGACCGTTGATGGAGGTGCAGCTGCAGTGTGGAAGGGAGAGTTTCTCTTCTATGTATTTGTGTTTTAAATTCCCTCTTTTTTATTATAATGGTTTGTATCACTTTTCTTGAAACAAAAAGCAATTAAAGAAAACTCTAAAATACTTTTCAGAACTGTTGTGAGAAATAGCAGTAAGGTATAAATATGTGCTATACATTCATATGTACCTGTGGATAGATGGTTTAAGATGGTGTCTGTGAGCCCTTTGCCGACGCCCCGAGGGCCAGATGTGTTTTGGAATTCAGAAGTTTTCATATTTGAGAAAGATAATACAGTGCTCATATGGTATGTCAAGTGACACCGCCGGTAGATTCTGGGGCAACACTCAGTAATCAAATGCATTAATTAAATTTTTTTAATTGAAGTATAATATATGTACAGAAATATACATTGTAAATACAGCTTGATGAATTTTTATAAGCTAAGCAAATGCATTAATATTGTGGCCATAAAAACATGAACATTTACTTTAAGTGGGATAAATGGAGATTATAAGTAGGCTCATATATAGAAGTTCAGGTGGTGAAAACCTGGGAGTTTTGGATTTTATTGCTGAGGATAAGAGGCTGTGGACCTGTATTGGTAGGAGAGTCACATGAGCAACGTATTACAGGAGACCCTAAAAAAGGCTTCAGGGCCACCACAGGATGGGAGCTGGAGTCCCCAGGTGTCCCTCCAAGCTGGCATTTGCTCATGTACTGCTCCCTCCTGCTGTTTTGTTCTTTCCCCAGGCGTGTGTGTCCAGATGCCAGCCCAGCTGCCACAGGAGATCCCTCTTGGAGACTGAAGGACAGGCTCTCAGGCCCAGGCTGAGGCCGACCAGCCCTGAGCCTTAGGGTAGGGGAATGGCAGCCCCCCCGGAGCTGCAAGACCAGACCCCTGGGGAGGGAGAAGGGCTTCTGATCGTGAAGGTGGAAGATTCCTCCTGGGAGCAGGACTCTGCCCAGCAAGAGGACAGCAGGGATTCTGAGGCCTGCCGCCAGCGCTTCCGGCAGTTCTGCTATGGGGATGCAGGCGGGCCTCATGAGGCCTTCAGCCAGCTTTGGGAGCTCTGCTGCCGCTGGCTGCGGCCCGAGCTGCACACCAAGGAGCAGATCCTGGAGCTGCTGGTGCTGGAGCAGTTCCTGAGTGTGCTGCCTGGGGACGTCCAGGGCTGGGTGCGTGAGCAGTGCCCAGGGAGCGGTGAGGAAGCCGTCGCCTTGGTGGAGGACCTGCGGAAGAAGCCAGTGAAAGCTTGGCCACAGGTGAGGGGCCTCTCCCACATCCAGGGGCACCTGGATGGCACCTGGGCTGAAGAGAGGTGGCCATCTCCATCAAGAAGAGGCCTCCAGGGGTGGTAGGGATATAGCCGGAGGGAGCATCCACAGGAGCCCGTCATAACAGGTGTTGTCTTTCTGAAAAACCCTGTCCAAATGAATCTGGTTTCTTTCTGGTAGCTTTGAAGGGCGGCAGCAGGACCGAAGTGGGCATGTTCCAGGAAGGCAGGCTTTAGCTCTACACAGGTTCTGCAAATGTTTATTCATGTTCTGCTCTAGGCCAGGCCCTGGAGATACAGTGATATGCCTAATGAGAGGACCAGAGAGGGTGTGAGAAGGTAGAGCTGTCCGCTACACTGTCTTGTGGGGTGTTGGGTCCTTGACACTGGAAGCATCTGGGGCTGGGGTGTTGCTGGGGTGTGGGGTTCTGCCCTTGACAGGAAGGTCCCCCCCACGTGCCCCTTGCAAAGTAGCTCTGTGATACTGGCCTTTGGGGGCTGGTTCTAGCCTTGTGCCTGATCAAGGAGTGGCCTTGAGCACACAGCATTGCCTCGTGTCACATTCTCCTCTGGACTTTCCTGGGGCCCCATATTGATCTCCTTCCCCACACCCCAGCATCCTGAGGGTCGTGTCCTGTGTCTCCTTCCCAGGGATTAAACTCTGTCTCCCCGGTCTGGTGTCGGTGCTGACAAGCATGTTGTGGTTCCTGCACAGGATGTGCCCTCAGAGGAAGTGGAACCCGAGGCTGCAGTCCAAGGATCCCAGGCCAAGGGGCCTCCCCCGAAGGTGGGGGCACGAAGCTGGCCGTCTGTACGCTGGGAGCAGCACAGCCATGGTGGTGAGTAAGCTTGTAGGCTGCAGAGTGACTGGGCTGGGACCTGGCTCTTTCCTGGGCGTTCCCCTAAGGGTAGCAGGAAGGATATTTCTGTCCCATAAGCCTAGGTGCCTGTGTGTGCGCACCCACGTAGTTGTGCACGTGTGTCTGTGTGCATCACGGGCAGGAGAGTGTGTGAGGTCTCACTTCCAGCCTGGGCAGGCCTCTCTGAGGCTCCGTTCTTTTCTTTCAGCCCAGTTTCCTGCTCTTCTTAAAGAGGGGAGTGCCAGAGAGGCGACGGACACCTGCTTGGCCTCTGGCGTCCATGTGAGTTACCAGTCTCTTTGTCCCTTCTGGGGCCCTCAGCGCTGTTGGGTCCCTAAAACGGGTCTTGCCTTCTCATCAAGGCCTCTTCCATCCATCCTGCTTCTGCCTGGACCCATCCTGGTCCCCATCCCAACCCCCTTCCTGTCGCCGCCACGGTTGCCTGGGGAGTCCTGAGCAAGGCAGCCCTGAGCTGGGTTTTCTCATCTCATTCCAGGGACCTGTGACGTTTGGAGACATTCCCTTCTATTTCTCCCTGGAAGAATGGGGGTCCCTAGACCCTGCTCAGAGGGATCTCTTCTGGGACATAAAGCGGGAAAACACCCGGAACGTTGCCCTGGGTAAGCAGTGGGTGCAGCTGGGACCCTTGCGGTCCTTGGCTCTTCTGAGCTAGAGGCTGCAGCCTCCCTGAGGATCCCAGCAGCAGAGAGTGGGTGCAGGCAGGCCACACACCCCTGCATGTCCTGCTGGAATCCTCAGTCTGCCTTCCCACCCGCTCCTTAGCAGGCTCCAGGATAGGCTTTCCCCCCTCCCTTCAAGAGCGCCAGGTGATTTCTCTTTTGTGTTAACGTTCATTTTTCTCTGCCTATAAGCGTGTGTTAATTTGTGAGGGGTGCATGCGACATGCTGGCACTGTGCTGAGCACTTGTATGGACATTTTCTCATGTGATCTTCACAACCTGGGGCATAGACATGTTGTCCCTGTTTTACAACAGTCGAGGAACCTGGCACTCACAGAGGTGGCGGGACGCTGGAGGGACAGAGCCAGGCCTCAGTGCAGACAGTGGTTGTGAGGTTAGTGCAGACAGTGGTTGTGAGGTTCCTTAGCCTGCCACATGGAGAGGTGTGAAAACACCTATTGCGTCGCCAGGAGGCCTGGGCCCAGCTCAGTAGAGGCCACACTCCCTGGGGTCCCTCTCCAAGCCAGGGCCTTCCTGAGCACTATTTGGAGATCATCTCATTTAATCCGCACAACCCAATGGGACGGGCCAGGATTCCTCCTGATCTGAATCTGTTTTTTCTTGGGTTTGGAGAAGGAGAGCTTGTGTAGTGAGAGGAACCACCTCAGCTGAACCCATGTGGTTCCTCAGTTTTTGCTGTGGATAGTGTGAGTTTGGATAACTTACAGCCTTTACCTGAAGCTCTTCAGTTTGAGAGTTTGAATAGCCAGGGTTCAGAGCGTGAGACGTGGGACCCCCGTGTGGCACCCGAGGCCCCTTTGGCTCAGGTGTGTGTGACTCGTAAGTGCCCATGCAGCAGGATCAGCCTGCTGGCTCCTTGCCGCGCCTCTGATGGGCTTCCCCGCGGCATTTTGCCATGTCGCCGTTGTGTGGACGAGGAAGCTGCGCTGGGCTCTGTTGGAGCCCCGGCTGTCTGAGGGACAGCCAAGGCTCTTGCCCCTGAGCCCTGTTTCTGCCAGCTCAGCTCTGGCCCCAGAACCAAGTGGGACTGAAGCGGCCGCCTCCTCTCTGCTTGCAGGTTTGGGGCTTAGGAGCCAAAGCGAGCGATCCCGGCCTGAGGAGGCGCTCCCGGTCCAGGCCGGCGGCGACGTGACTGTGTCCTGGAGCCCTGCGGAGGCCGAGGCCTGGGAAAGCGAGGCCCGGCCGGGGACGGCCCCAGGGCGGGCGGTGGGGGCGCGGCGGGGGCGGCCGCCCACGCGCCGGCGTCAGTTCCGGGACCTGGCGGCAGAGAAGCCGCACAGCTGCGGCCAGTGCGGCAAGCGCTTCCGCTGGGGCTCCGACCTGGCACGCCACCAGCGCACACACACGGGCGAGAAGCCGCACAAGTGCCAGGAGTGCGAGAAGAGCTTCCGCAGCTCCTCGGACCTGGTGCGCCACCAGGGTGTGCACACGGGCCAGAAGCCCTTCTCGTGCTCCGAGTGCGGCAAGAGCTTCAGCCGCAGCGCCTACCTGGCCGACCACCAGCGCATCCACACCGGCGAGAAGCCCTTCGGCTGCAGCGACTGCGGCAAGAGCTTCTCGCTGCGCTCCTACCTGCTGGATCACCGGCGCGTGCACACAGGCGAGCGACCCTTCGGCTGCGGCGAATGCGACAAGAGCTTCAAGCAGCGCGCCCACCTCATCGCCCACCAGAGCCTGCACGCCAAGATGGCCCAGCCCGTGGGGTGAGGGCCAGAGCGAGGGGGTGTCTCCCCAGCACGACCTCTTCCCTCCCCCTCGGGAATTCTCCACCTTCCCGGCTGCCTGCCCTGCTCTGCCCTGCAACCTGGAATGGAAATCCGCTATGACCTCAGCGCCACTCTCTTCCTGCTCCAAGGGTTTCTCTTGCCCTCTGGCTCCTGGAGCCCCAACACCTTCTGGGCCAGTGGCATTAAAGTGGGAGAGAGGCCAGGGCAGCTGGGAAGTGTGAGGACTCGGGCAGGGCCTGGGGTCCCTATCCAGGAACCTCCCTCAGCCTTGCTTGCCCTGAGGCTCTTTGTTCCCTGCATTCTCCACTGGGTGTGTGGGCCAGGCCCTCTGCTCTGCCAACCTGTGCCTTCCAGCGGGAGTGGAGGACAGGCCTTGACCCCCAGGGCACTGCTGGGCTCTGGGAGGGTCAGTCACCCCACACCTGTGAGGATCTGGGTCCTGGGCATGGCTACGGGGGCTTTCTGGCCTCCACCCCTCCCATTTCTAGGCCATGACCACTCTTCCCTGTCTTGGTGACCTGGAAGCTATCTGCTTCCACTCTCTGCAAACTTGCTTCCCTGGTGAGTCCCTGAGAGCTACCCCCTACCAGTCTGGTGAGGGTCGTGGTGGCTCCAGGGACAAGAGGCTGACCGTGCAGACCAGGGCTAGCGGAGGCATGCTGCTCCCCACTCCTCCAGAGGCATGGGGTTTATGGTACTTAACACTAGCACTTCGTCAGCACGTTGGTGCTGACTTCTTAGGCACTGCATTCCATGTGTCGCCTGCATCGTCTGCAGGTCGGCATTCACAGGGACAGACCACAGGCCCTCCAAAGGAGCTCGACCCAGCTGGCCTCAAAAGGGCAGCCGAAGGGTTTGAATAAATGTGGAAACTGCCTCCAGGTTGTTATGTTCTCTAGGTGGCTGCTGGGTGGGGAGACCTGGAATGCATACCCTCTGCCTCTTGGCGTGGTAGCTGTGGCGGCATGTGATGCTGTGTGGTCACCAGGTGGAGCTACATGCTTGGCTTCCAGGTCCGCTGGGCCCCAAAGGGCGGCCACGAGCCTCAGGACTCTCATTCTCTTGTGTCAGCCAGTGCCTGCCCTGGTCTGGGGACAGCTCAAGGTGGGGCAGCTGGTGGCATCCCTCCCTACTCCAGCAGGAGAATGGGAGAGCTGAGTAGGACTTGGGGTCTTTATAAATACTTTATTTTTTTATTTTATTTTATTTTTTATAATTTTATTTATTTATTTTTCCCCCAAAGGCCCAGTAGATAGTTGTATGTCATAGTTGCACATCCTTCTAGTTGCTGTATGTGGGACATGGCCTCAGCATGGCCAGACAAGCGGTGCGTCAGTGCACGCCCGGGATCCGAACCAGGGCCGCCAGCAGTGGAGCACGCACACTTACCCGCTAAGCCATGGGGCCGACCCAGGACTTGGGGTCTTTACCAGGCCACCTCCTTTCTCCCCATTGGTGAAGTTGGAAAGAGGCTGGGAGATGGGGTGACTGGGCAGGGGGGTGTATGCACACGCTGCTTGTAGGGGATCCTGAACTCAGAGCTTGGTCCCTGTGCTCAAATCCCTTACGGAGAGAGGGCTGCTGAGTCAAAATGGGCAAGGCCCCCATTCCCCACCCAGCCTTTGACATCTGGCCCTTCCCCTCTCTGGCCGCAGGCTGGGGCCTTCGAGGAGCTGGTGGGTGCAGGCCAGAGCTCTTTCCACCCCTGCTGACCCATTTCTGATTCACCTGGTGATAGCCTCAGCAGGCCCGCCTGAGGGGCAGTGGCGGTGGCTGAGACAAGGTGTTCTGTCCCTTGGTCTGCATGCCAGCCTCTTTGCCTCCTGGGCCCTTCCTCAGCCAGCCCCCCATTTGACATCCTGAGGTTGCTGCAATGGACCCCATTTTGCAGATGAGGCAGCCGGGGTCTCACTGTGGACAGCTGACCCCAGTTGGGGGTTACTGCCTCTGGGGCACGCCCTTCACCACTCCCCGGAGCCTTGTGCTCACAGCTGCTCTGTGCATGTGTGTGGGCGTAGGGCGTGGATGAGGGGGGGGGGGGTTGCTGGGCAGGAAAGTGCTCAGACTTTTTTGGTGCTGGTGGCTGGCTCAGAAGGGAGACACTCAGGTGTAACGAGATCAGATGGGAAGTGGGCCAGGAGCTAAGAATAGCATTGGGCACAGGTCCTGGCTCAGGCGGGGCATGTCAATGCCAGCCAGGAAGTAGCCCGCTGAAGTCAGGGAATAGCAGGGGGTGGGGCCCAGGACCCAGGGTTCCAGCAGAGAGGGGCAGAGTCCGGCTCAGCTCATAAACAGAGCTGATAGGACGCGGCTCAGGGACAGGGCAAGGGTTGGGACCCAGGGCACTGGTGCCAGGGCAGGAGCTTCATGCTCAGAGGAAGTGCCCACCTGGCCCCCATGGCCTACCTGGTAGCTGGGACCCTGCGGGTGGCCGAAGTGATGGCAAACACTCGGGAGAGTCTGGGGAGAAAGGTAGTGGGAGGCACTGCCTGGCCCAGCCCACTCCTGGCTCCCAGCTGAGCCCCACCGCCCAGCTCTGGCTTTGCCTCCCTAGGGGAAATACAGCATGCAGGGTCCAAGGGTGGCCCTGACTCTCAGCAGCCCTGAGGTGTCGGCCGCTACAGTGGCTGTCCTGGAGGGCGTGTTCCGGGCCCTGTGCTTTGAGAGCTGGCAGAGGAGGGAGGCCTCAGTCCAGGTGAGCCCTCGTCTGCCTCCCGCCTCCACCCCCACCGGGGGCCTCCCTGGACCGAGGCCCAGCCTTCACTCTTGCCCTAGGGCTTCCTTGGGGAGCTGGCTGGGTTCCGGAAGCAGCTGGATGCCCATGGGGGCCCTATGGGCTGTGCCCTAGTGGCCTTGGTGGCCCCCAGTGGGCAGCTGAGGCAGCTACAGCAGCTGGTCCAGGAGCTGAGCCACTGTGGGGCCTTGCGGGGCTGCCCCAAAGTCTTCCTGCTGCTCTCCAGTGCTCCTGGGGGTGAGTGAGCAGGGCAGGGACCCCTGGTTGTGGGGCAGGGCAAAGCAGGGGTGAGGGAGGGTGGGCCGGAAGGCCGACACCCTCCCTTCCAGGCCAACGTGCTGCTTCTGCACCCAGCTGCCCCCGAGCCTGGAGCCTTCCTCACTGGCCTGGGCGAGCTCTGTGGCCGCTGTCCTCACTGGTCCCTGCTGCAGCTGCTGACGGAGGTGGGGGCCCTGGACAGGGAGTCCTAGGGAGGGGGGCTACTGCCGGTCACCTCCCCTGGCCTTGCTGTGCTCTCCTGAACCCGTCACACAGTTCAATTCATTCACATGCTCCCCACCCATTCATTCTACAAAACCTTCATTGTCTACACAAGTGGTGTTAGCCAGGGGCCTCGCCTCCTGCCCCCACCTGTCCCCTTCCTCACAACCCACTCAGGGTCCCCTATACACTCCAGGGTCTTCACAACTCCATGCCTTTGCCCAAGCTGTTCATCAGCTTGGCATGCCCTCACTGTTGTCCCGGCCAGCCTCACACAGTCCCTTCCAGGCTGTCAGCATTGCCCTTCCTCAGGCTCCCTGAGTCGACGCTTGTACTTCTGCCCACCCCTGTTCATACTCACCTAGGCAGTGATTGTCCTGTCAGACTGTGGGTCCCTGGAGATGAGGGCTGAGAATGATTCAGATCTGGTCCCGAGGCCCGAAGTTCTCATCGGGCAGTTGGGTGGCCCCTGGGTGACCCTGGAGGTGAGGGGTGGGCCCCGAGCCGCAGCTCAGCCCAGCCTGGTGCCCTCCCCTAAAAGATGAAGGGTTGGTGGTTAATGGAATGGCCACTGTCCACTTGAGGCCATCCATACCCAGGGAAACCCGTGACCTTGAGCCTGAGCCAGAAACCCCCTCATGCTCTCCTCCTCTTTCCTATCTCCTTCTGCCTCTGTTCTGGCAGGGGACCCCAAAGAGACTGTAGTAGCCATGATCCCAGCCAAACTATTCCCCGGAGCCAGGGTCCTGGTTCTCTCCCCCTCCCACGCCCCCATGGAGCAGCCTCCTGAGGGGTCCTCTGGCCCCTCGCCAGGTATTCTGCAGGACAGCTGAAGAGTCCTCAGGGGCCACCTACTGCCCAGTCCTGCGGAGCTCCTTGCGGGGGGCGCTGTGCCTGGGGAATGTGGAGCCCTGGGAGCGTGAGGTGAGCGGGACGGGGTGGGGTCTGTGGCAGCAGTTGCCAGTGGGACAGAGGCTCAGGGAGACCCAAGATGGGGGAGGCGAGGAGCTGGGAGGTCCTCAGATGGCTCTGAGTGCACCTTAACCCTGTCTGTAGCCAGTACCCGGCCCCAGTGCTCAGTATGACCTATCCGGGGCCAAGGCCGCCCTTCTCCTGGCCGTGATCCAGGGTCGGTCTGGGGCCCAGCACGACGTGGAGGCACTGGGGGACCTGTGCCAGGCCCTGGGCTTTGAGACCACCCTGAGGACAGACCCTACAGCCCAGGTGAGCGGAAGCCCAGCACTTCTGGTGGTGCTCTGAAGGCACCCCCACCTCCTGACCCTTGGGACTCTCCTGGGCTTCTCACCCATCGTGGGCGAGAAGTGCACCCCCAAGTCTAGCCTCCATCCTCCCTGCTGCATGCATTGGGAACCCACTTCCCTGCCTCTGGAAGCCAGTCTCCAGGGCTCCTGCAGCCTCCCACACTGGCTGTTTCTCTGCTTCCCCACTCAAGGCCCAGCTGGACCCTCAGGCTTTTCCTGGGAGCATCTCAGGTTCCTTCCCAGACACCCGTCAGTTCACTGCCCTCCTCTCTCACCCCTTAACTTTTTGGTGCAGCTTCCCCGCAGGGGCCAGAAAACCAACTGCAGGAGGCTGGACCCACATGTCACCCCAATGAGGCCATGCCAGGCCATGCAGCAAGGGGGGTAGAAAAAACACTTCCTCCCTGAGCCTGAGGCTGACAGGAGGTGGGAGGTAGAGTGGGCAGGGGGCTGGAGAAGCCTGCCTTGAGGCCTGCCAGGTCCCAGGAAGACAGTGGCCCTGGCCCAGGCCTCAATCTCCATCCCACCCCAGACTTTCCAGGAGGAGCTCGCCCAGTTCCGGGAACGGCTGGACGCCCACAGGGGCCCCGTGAGCTGTGCCCTTGTGGCCCTGATGGCCCATGGGGGGCCTCAGGGGCAGCTGCTGGGGGCTGACGGGCAAGAGGTGCAGCCAGAGGCACTGGTGCAGGAACTGAGCTGCTGCGGGGTCCTGCAGGGCCGCCCCAAGATCTTCCTGCTTCAGGCTTGCCGTGGGGGTGAGCAGGGCCTGGGGCCCACCCTGGAGGCCCGGCTGGGTCCTGGCCTCCCACCTGCCTCCTCCTGCCCTAGCTTTCTCAGGCTCCCAGGACTTGCTGCCCACCTCCTCCAGGAAGCCTGCATACCAGCCCTTTCCCCACCCCCTCTCCTGGCCTCTCGTAGACGTCAGGGCCGTGAACTCGAGCCCTTCACCCTCAGCACTTGTCATTCAGGGCTCTGAACATTTCCAGCCTGGCAGGCCTCCACTGGAGCCCTGGGGGCTTGAGTCTGGAGCCCTGGGGGCACCCCCTGGTATCTGCTGAGAGAAACGACCTGACTGTCCCCTCCTTCTCCAGGGCACAGGGACACTGGCGTGGGGCCCACAGCTCTCCCCTGGTTCTGGCGCTGGCTGCAGGCACGACCAGCCACCCCCTCCCACGCTGATGTCCTCCAGATCTATGCCCATGCCCAAGGTGCGTCTGCCTTCTTTCCAGAGCCTGGACCTGGAAAGCCCTGCCAAGGGTGGGGGGGAGCTGTCTGAGGCGCATTTCCAGGACTCTGAGCTGGGGTTCTGCTGCCACCTCCGTCCTCTCTTTGCCAAGAGAATGGGAAGGAAAACCTTCCTAAACCTCAAAGAGCTTTGAAAACCAAGGGCTGCTTCTCCTATTTGAGCCTAGAAACAACCCTGGAGTCAGGAAGGTGAGAGCTTTTCTGAGGTCACACAGCCGGTAAGCAGCAGGGCTGAGATTTGAACTCTAACATGTCTTGCCTGCCCTGTGCTCTCCACTGCCCTGTGCTGCCCTTGGGCCAGACTTGGGGAGACCGAGGGGCTGATGGAGTCCCAGGACGCTGGGTAAACGGAGTTGATCCCTCTTGCAGGCAGCTCCTCCAGGGGCTCCACTCCAGGGGGCCCCGACCAAGCAGACATCCTGACAGTCTACGCAGCCACCGAGGGTAAGGGGCCCAGTCATCAAGAAGCCCAGCCTCCTGGCTGGAGATCTGGAGTGGCTTTAGGGGCAGCCAGGGCTTGGGGGGTGGAGTGCAGGGACACCAGCCCAGTTGCAGTGAAGCCATCTTCCTTCCATGTTTATTATTTATAATAGTAGTAATGCTGGTGAGCACGTCTTGAGGGCTGACTGTGCCAAGCACTGTACCTGCACCCTTCCTTCCAGGCTGTAAGTTCCATGAGGGCAGTTCAGTTCTGTCTGCCTCAGGGCCCTGCCCACGCCTGGCACATCATAGGTTCATAGTGCATGTTTGTTCAATATTGAATCCATCATATATGCACTCCGCAAATATTGAGCAACAACTTGTTCCAGAAGCAAGTGGTTCCCGCTCCCCCGGATCCTGTGTGCCTGCCCCCCACTTCCAACAATAGGCCCCTTGGGGATTGGAAAGCAGGGGGTAGGGGCCTGAGTCCGACACACCGGCCCTGGTCCCCCCTGGCCTAGGCTGTGTAGCCTATCGGGATGAGAAGGGCTCAGACTTTATCCAGACACTGGTGGAGGTGCTCAGAACTGACCCCACGGGAGATCTCCTGGAGCTGCTGACTGAGGTGTGTTGGGGGCTGGGGGGTGGTGACAGGGGGAGATGTGTCCTCCCCAGCCCTCGTGTTCTGATCACCTCCTATTCACCCTGTTGGGGAGGGAGGGATCCCCCCACTCAGTAGTAAGAGATGGCCAAACACACAACACCTGCACTGGCCGGGTGAGATGGACAGCAGTTATTAGCCACATAAACCCACGGCTGGCGGATGATTATATATATTATATATAATCACACACCACATGCCATGCTGGGCCACTCGGGGTTGCACTTGGAAACAGAGTGAACCGGCAGGGCCTTTGGGCTGCAGGCTTTGTGGTAGCAGGGGTAGGGTGCCCCTGGTTCCCCCCGGAGGAGGTGATTGGCTTGTTTGAATAGTTTCGCAGGCGGGCTGGGAACTGAAGCCCCTCAGGCTGAGGACGGGGTGGAGTGCGGCTGGTCTGGCTGGTGAGGGAACTAGCGCAGGTGGGGAGCCTTTCCCGCTGGGTGGGGGGCACATCTGAGAGGAGCAGGGGGACTTACGATTAGGCCCCTGGGGACCCGTGAGGCCCAGAGATGTCAAGGCAGCACTGAGTGTGGTCCTCGCAGGTGAACCGGCGGGTGTGTGAGCTGGACGTGCTGGGTCCCGACTCCGACGAGCGCCGCAAGGCCTGCCTGGAGATCCGCAGCTCGCTGAGGCGCCGGCTCTGCCTGCAGGCCTGACTGCGCCCGAGGCACCCAAATGGTGCTGACAGTGGGGCCGCAGCCCAGCGCCACCAGACTCCCTCCACTCCTCGGTCTCCTCACCTGTAAACGGGGCATCCCGGCAGGGGATCCGGCGCTTAGTGGGCATGCAATAAACGTCCGTTGACGGTCGTTGTACACGTAAACAGTGCCTGTTCTCAGGGAGGTGCGACAATAAGAGAGACAATGTATGCGAGGTGCCCGGCACTTCATGAGGGCGCATAAGAGGCCAGGGCTGCCAACATGGGCTGGGCTGGGCTAGATGTTGAGAAGGGCCAGCCCAGGGTCCACAGCGCTCTGCTAGCACACGCGCCCCACCTGCACCCCGCGCTGGGCCATGGAGAGGCAGGAGACGTGGCCCCACCTTCATGGCGCTCAGAGGCCGGTCTGGGGCCGCAAGACTGGAACAGAGCACTGCAGGCTTGGTGGTGCTGTGATGGGGGAAGCACAGGCGCTGGAGGAGCGGTGCGCAGCTCCTGACCCAACGCGGGCCGGGGACACGTGGAGGAGGAGATCCCAAGGGTCCTCTCGGAGCAGGAGGGGCCTAGGTAGCCTCCCCGGGGCTCGAACTCTCGTTCACAGGCCCGCGCGAACAGTCCTCTCCTAGCTGCCGGCCCTCAGTCCGGCGCCTGGGGCCCCACTCGGAGCCCCGCCCACACGGAGCCCAGGAGGCGGGGTTCCTCGCCGCTGTGAGCATGCGTATTAGGGTACCCTGCGTGGCCGCCACGCTGCACAGTCTCCTGGATAAGCTCTATGAGAAAAGCTGCGTAGTTGTTCGCTGCGGGGCCGCGTGGCCTAATGGATAAGGCGTCTGATTCCGGATCAGAAGATTGAGGGTTCGAGTCCCTTCGTGGTCGCTGCGGCGTATATTTTTCTCCCTCCGCTTAAAATTTTCCCCCTCTCTAGACTGCGCCCTACACGAGCCTAGGACCGTCGGGCAGTGCCAACCGCGCGCCCCGCCCTCTGGCCCTTGGCACGCAGCCGTGCGCCTGCACCCGTGGAGCTCGGGACCCAGGGCTAGGACTGCACCTGGGGCGACCCCGAGGGCACTGCGGGGACCAACACTGGCCGGACCCGTGCGGACTACGGAGCGTGAAGGCACCGGCCGCGAGTTCCGGGAGCCAATTGGGGACTGGCTACATGAATTATAGTTTAGACAATGAGAACTGTGACAGATGAGGGATTGGACTGTTGGGGGGAAGCGGGGTGCGGGTAGGGGACTTGCCCCAAGAGGGTCAGAAGACAGATGCATTTTAAAATATAATTATTGTGATGAGAAAGATTTGGAAATAGTGGTGATGGTTGCACAATACTGTGACTGTAACTGATGCCACTGAATTGTACGTTTAAAGATGGTTAAAATGACAAATTGAATATTATATATATACTACAATAAAAAGTTTTAAAAATCTAATAGATTATTTCTATTTCTTGCAATGAGAGTGTACCCTTAAATAACTAGTGTGAATGTGTATTTAAAAATTTAAATATAAAGAATATGCCCAGGATTGAATCACCATTTTTCCCTGAAAAAATGTCTATCCCTGCACAACCGAGTTCTCTCCAAGGGATTCTGGCTAAGCGGAATGACCAAGATGATGGGACCTCCTCTCCCAGGATAAACGGGAGGGGGAATGTCAGCTGAGCGTGTACCCCGGGCGGTGGGCGCAGGTGACCTGCGGTCACGCGGAGTGTCATTTTCTCCTTGATCGTTTTTGTGGTGTTTTAGTGATTTACTAAGGGCTCATAAATATAAAGAAGAAAAACTTCATTAAGATAAACATTTTAAACATGAGAAAGAACATTCATCTTATGGTAGGAAAATAAACGCTGGATTCTCTGATATTAGAGTCTCATGCTCTAGCGGGGCGGATACAGAGCCATTATGGAGGTTCCTTGGGACAAAAACCTAAGGCCGCTGGGCTCCGCTAAAACCCTCGGAGACCTGGGCCCAGGTAACACTTTCGGTCTAAGGGCAATGTGGGGAGAAGCGTGCGGACAGGGACTGGCCCTTTTCCCAGGCGCCCGGCTGGTCCCCCTCTCCCTTCAGCTCCCACATTTTGCATCGCAAACGCCTTCTGGCTGGTAGTTATCCCCGGACCCGGATTCCCCTAAAAAGAGGGGAAAGGTCTCGCCCGGGATTTGATTCCCGGACCTCCTGCACCCTAAGCGAGGCTCATAATCCCCAAGTCCAACGAGGCGAGTTGACACCTGCTGCCCCAGGTCTTTGAGCTTCATCCGCTTGTGAGCGGCCTCTTTGGGGTCCGAGGATGCTCAAGAGCGGGCGAGATCTGAGCGGGAGCACAGGCCGAATACGGATGTCAAGGGGCCGGAGAGAGGCCGGCATGGGGCCGGGAGGCTGGGCGTAATCTGCAGGAACCTCGGAGAGGTGACTGAGAGACTGGTCTAATACCATTGCAACACGTCACTTATCAGCCCCGGTGGCCTAATGGATAAGGCATTGGCCTCCTAAGCCAGGGATTGTGGGTTCGAGTCCCACCCGGGGTACAGAGGCTTGACTTTTGGACCCCTTCCAAGGAGGAGAAGTGGGAAAAAGTGTAGTGAAACTCTATGGCTACTTTCCCCAGTAGGGCAAGCAAATGAAGGAGGTTATCCAGACGCAGCCCTAAGCTAAAGCCAGTGAGGCCTTATCTTCTGGTAAGGAGGGCACATTTTCAGCTTTCAGAAAAGAGTGCTTGCATGCCTGACACTATTTTAATAACTATCCATTCTACTTGATGATATAAAGGAATAATTGTTTGTTTTTCTAGATGTGTTAACTGTGGTTGCATATATTTTTAAAAACCTTATCTTTTGTAAACACATCCACTTATTTAGAGATTAAATTATACGACAACTGGTTTGCTTTCAAATAATGGGCCAGGTGGTGACTATAGTTAATAATACTGGATTGTATACTTGAAATTTGCCAAGAGAGTAAATCTGAAGCCTTCTCACCACACACACACAAAAAGTGACTGTGAGCTGATGGATGTGTTAATTAACTTGACTGTGGTAAGTATTTCACAATGTATACATGTATCAAATCCTCGCATTGTACACTTTAAATATAAATAGTTTTATTTGTCAATTATACTTTAATAAAGCTGGAAAAAATATAGTGGCCTGGATGGAGGTATAGACAAAACAAGCCTATCTATGAGTTGATAATTGCTTAAGCTAGGGGACATGAGGGCACATTATACTATTTTCTCTGCTTTAGTGAATGTTTGAAATAATCCATAATGAAGTTTTCTTTTTTTTTAATCCATGCAATACATGTCTTCATCCTCGAGGTAAAAACCTTCCAAACTGGACACGGTGTAGAGTAACAGCAGAAGCCTCCTGTGCCAGCTGCCCATAGAGGGGATGACCGCTGGAGCTGTGTCATGTGTCCACTGAAAAACATAGTTCTCTTTCGCCTTTAGAAACCATGAATGAGACTCTTCTGTTCCTCCAGCTCCGGCCTTACCTCCCCCACTTTCCTGAACATCTAGGGCCCCATCACCCCTACTGAAATCAGGGACCTCGTCTCATTGCAGTATCTCCCACTATCACACGTGGGCTGCAGAGAATGGGGTCCACAGAGCTATCCAAGGATGCTAGTGCTTCCCTCACCAATGTTTCTCAGTGCCTCATTGAAGGGAGTGTCCCCTGGGCCCTCTTGGTGGGGTGATGGTGTGCACATCACATGTGATAGATCCCGTCCAGCATCTCCATCTCTCTAAGTCTTTGGATTCCTTTCTCTACCTGATGCCAGGGACGTTCTCACAGCTCAGTCTCATTAAACATAGGCCCCCACTGAGTTCAATGCTAAGCCAACCAGCCAAGAATCCTGGTAAAGCCACATTCAGCTGTACAAGATAACATGTTAAATACAGGCTTTCTGGGAAGTACACCCAGATCAATAAATGCACCAGATGCAAAATCATATCCCATTCTCCTTACTTTAACACCCTTAGAACCATTCCCACACATATTCCCTAGGTTTCTGCTGGCATAAATGAACAAAAGTTGCAATTCTTTTGGCGTATAAGCTCTGTCCTCCAGGGTCAGCCTTTGTACTTGTTCCCTGCAGCTGATCTGACTGTAGTTATGGCGCCAAGGGTGGTTGGTGTGGGCTTTGAGGAGAACTGGCATCCCCTTGAAAGAAAACTGCTCCGGGTGATTTTATTATAGGATACCCAAACAGAGGAAGGCTGCTCTCCTCGGATACCAGTGGACGGGCTGCTTTTGCTGGCAAGGAGGCGCCAAGAGACTCAGGGGTTCAAGATTCTCAACTTTGTCTGAGCCCACCCAGGTGTCCCCAAGGTTTTGGCTCCACTTCCTCATAATCAATGCCATTTCTTCCACATGAAAGATTTTCTCAGGCTGTGAACTCAACTTACCTTGTTATTCTGTGACATGCATAATTCAATTACTTGTTTGATCTTTAACAGTATCAGCCCTGCAGCTATAAGATTATTCTATGGCTGCCATAAAATGTCCCTGGGTCTCTGAACATGACTTAGGCTGAAAGTTTAAAGCCCTAATCTTCTCATTTTTTTTTCTGCAAGCAAACTGGTGTACTCAGAAGAATCCTTTCCATGCCACAGTCCTTGTAGTCACCTTTACTGCCACCAACAGTCAAAGGCAGCAGGCTCGTGGTCCTCCCGGGCCCTGCTTCAGTCAGCACTCCATCATAATCAACAAGGTGAGACTCGGCTTGGTCACGATGCCACTGTGTGCCATGAATTACCAGCATCCTATCTCCCGTCAGCACTGCGTTCAAGCCCAAATTCATTACCACATCAGGGCCCAGGCAGCAGTCAGAAAACCCATCCATTGGGGATGGGGGAAATGGGGACTGGTTGGTAAAAGGGTACAAACTTTCAGTCATAAGATGAATACGTTCTGGGATCTAATACACAGCATGGTGATGACAGTTAATAATACCGGATTGTGTACTTGAAATTTGCTGAGAGATCAAATGTTCTCACCACACACACACACACACACACACACACACA